TACTGCGTACCTCTGTTAATCCTGAAATTGTTAAATAGCCAGAAAGTAAAGAGTTTTTGAAATCGACATGTTTAATATCTACATTTACTGGATATGACGTTCTTTCACTTTTTTGAACCCCTACAAATCGACTAAATAATAATAATAATAATTAATACACAGAAAAACTTTAAATAAATTGATAAGATATATATATATTTACCTTCCAGGATATAATGCAAACTTTGGAACAGATTCATAATCCTTTAATTCTTCAACTGCCACTTTTACTATATTTGTGTTTTTTGATTTTTCCCTTTTTGAAACTTACAACAATTTTTTAAACTATTAATAGTTGTTGGTCCCAAAAAAAAAGAAAAAAGGTTATTTTATTGGTTTTGGTGTTATAAATTTTATTTTTAAATTATAATGATAAAATATTTAATAATATCTTTCTTTTGTTGATTTTTTTTTTTTTTTTCTTTATTTTTGTTTTCTTATAAATTTGTATTTAAAACAATAGTTTAATTAAAGTATTATTATTGAGGGCTGTAAAAATATGTAATTTTATTAATATAATTTTTTTATTAATGGTTTTTTTTTTTTTTTTAATATATTTATATTTTTTTTAATATTTTTTAAATTAAAATAAAAAAAATTTAAAAAAAAAATTTTAAAAAAAATTTAAAAAAATATTTAAAAAAAAATATTTTTATTTTATTTTTTTTTATTTTTTTTATAAAAATACGTTACTTGAGTTTTCATGCCTTTTTTTCTTTTGACCGGGTTTTTTTTTTTGAGTTTTATTTTTTTTTTTTTTTGAATTTTTTTTTTTTTTTCCCTTTCTTAAAAAGAAAAAAAAAATTATAAGGGAGGAAGTTTATGTGTTTCTTTTTTTGAAGATAATTCAAAAAAAAAAAAAAATGGACCTAAATTTTAAATTAAATGTCATTCATTAAATGAAATAAAGTATAGGTTTTTTAATAATAAATAAAATTAATAAAAATAAAACCCCATAAAAAAATAATATTTAGTTATATTAAACAAATAATATACCCAAATAATTTTTTTTCGTTTTTTTTTTTTTTTTTTTTCTCCCTCGAAATTTCACCTACAATAATATAAACAACTTATAATAATAACTATGCAATACCATAAATATTTTCAGCATAATAAAATATTTTAGCTTTAGTTCTTTTTAATTTCCTATAAACTATAGTTTTATAATATTTCAAGAAATCAAATATAACTTTTTTTTTAATTTATTTTTTTGTTTTTTTCTTTCAACACACAACAAATAAATTTCTTATTATTTTCCTGTATAAATAATTATATTATGTAATAGCTTTAAAATAATAAATTTTTTTTTTTTTTTTTTAACTATATTCATTATTTCATTTCTATTGTTTTTGTTACTTTTTAAATAACAATAATAATAGTCACATATATTTTAAAAATATAGCATTAAAATAATTTTTTATATAATAATCTAATAAAAGGTTTTTTTTTTTAAAACAAATAATATCTTTAGAATGCCATCATTTGCTGATTTAACTACTGAAGCTGGTCTTGTTGAACTCAACACCTTCTTATCAGACAAAACCTACATTGTTGGGTATGTATATATATTTATTTTTAAATTTTAATACTCTATCACCAAATAATAATAATAATTAAATATTCGGAAATAAAAAAAATAATTACTAATTTTTTGTAATTTTAATTTATTTAAATAATAGTTTCGTCCCATCAACTGCTGATGTTGAAGCTTTTGGTTTAGTCAAATCATCCCCAGCTGCTGACAAATATCCACATGTTGCCAGATGGTTCGCCACTATTGCTTCATACGATGCTGCTGAAAAATCAGCTTTCCCAAAAACTGAATCAGTTACCATCAATGCTCCAGCTGCCGCTGCTAAAGACGAAGATGATGTTGATCTCTTTGGTAGTGACGAAGATGATGAAGAATACGAAAGACAATTAGAAGAACGTCGTAAAGCTGCTGCTGCCCTCAAAAAACCAAAAGCTGTCGTTATTGCTAAATCATCAATTCTTTTAGATGTTAAGCCATGGGATGATGAAACTCCAATGGACGAATTAGAAAAATCAGTCCGTTCAATCGTTATGGACGGTTTAGTTTGGGGTGCCTCAAAACTCGTTGCTGTCGGTTATGGTATTAAGAAACTCCAAATCAATCTTGTCGTTGAAGATGACAAAGTTTCAACTGATGCTTTAGAAGAACAAATCTTAGCCTTCGAAGACTACGTCCAAAGTATTGATATTGCTGGTAAGTTTTTTATTTATTTATTTTATCATAAATATTATTATTACAAGTTACTAATTTATTTTTTTCTTTTTTTCTTATTAAAGCTTTCAACAAAATCTAAAGACTTTATTTCCCATATATTCTTTAAATTAAATAAATTTTATCTTTTGTAAAAAAAACTTAATCAAATATTTTGATATCATTATTAAAAAAAACAAACCAATTTTCTTTATTTTTTATGTTTTTATCTATTTTTTATAAATTTTTAAAAATAGATTTTATTTCCATTTATATTTCATATTTAAATATATGGGTTGTTTTATTGATCAAAAATGACCGCTCAATGTGACTCTATAAAATTGAGTTTAATTTATTATTAATATTAATTTATTATTGATATTAACATTTATATTATCATTTTAGAATCTATTTTTTAGTTAATTTATATAGATTTTCATTTGAAAAAAAAATATAATATAATGAAAATAAATTAAATATATTATATAATGGTCTCGAAAAAATTTTTGACACAATGAAACTTATAGAACAATATGAAAGTTTTAAAATGAATAGGTATCAAATATAATAAATATTATATCTGTAGTAATATAGTGTCTAACTATTTTTTTTAGATGTTTTTAACAGAGACCAACAGGACCAACCACCACAACCACAACAAGCAACCCCACAACAACAACCATCAAAACCAACCCCACAACAACAGCCATCAAAAACAACCCCACAACAACAACCAAGACCAATCCTACAACAACCAAGACCAATCCCACAACAACAACAACCAATCCCACAACCAATCCCACAACCAACCCCACAACTACAGCAACCAAAATCAAAACCACCACCACAACAAAAACAACAACCATTCATTTTTTTTATTATTTTAAAATGGTGGTTAAAAAAATTATATTTTATTTTAGTTTCCGACTCAAAAGTAAATAAAACTTACTATTTGGGGGTCTTCACTTGGAAATTTTCCAATTCAATTTCCACAATTCCCAAAAAAGAGTAGATTAAAATTTTGCTTTACAGTATAGCCCACACTAATTTTTTTTAATAGAATTCCGTTGTATTATTTGCGGATTTACTATCCAAAAAAAAACTATACAAAAAAAAAAAAAAAAAAAAAAAAAAAAAATATTTATCTAGGTTGAAATTATAATTATAATAAATAAAAATTATAATTATAATCCTTTTAATAGTAATAATATTATAGTATAGATACTAGTAATAATAATATAATAATAGATAATAAAATAATATCCCTTAGAAATAAAAAAATAAATAGAATAAAAAGAATTTATAATATATGTCAAAAATCCACAGAGGTAAAGATCCAATCAGCTTACAAAAGACCTCTCGACTAATTCAATACCAATGAATTTTTTCATTCTAATCAACTATTTGATAAATATCAGACATTGTTCTGGCCAAGCAACTATGGTATCATCTAATGGTTTTAGATCAAGAAAAGATTTAGTGGTTCATTAGAAGAAAAGATTTAGTGGTTCCTATCTGGCAGCATCCAAAAAACCTAGACAACTTTACACAAGCTCTAATCTCAGTAAATCTGTTATGTGTGTTCAATTGATAGTTTTCTCTATGAATGACTTTGAATGGAAGATTAATGTGCTCAGTAGTACGATATCCCATTAGTTCAAATTCACCATCTGGTGGAATGAAACTAACTGTACGATCGCTATCGAACTTACCTAAACGTACACATTGATGGAATGTGATATCGTCGATTTCAATACCATTAAAAGAGCTGCTGCTTTTATTTTATATAATTTTAATTTGATTAATTTAATTAATTTTGATTATCTATTTTATATACCCTAAAACCTAAATGTAATGTAGTTATTATTTTTATAACTATTTATTATGATGCAACTTCTGTCAATATTATAAAGCATGAACAAAAGATTTTCGAAATAATATTAAAGAATTTGAACATATGCAATTTAAGTACTATATTATTAAGAATTCTGGACCTATGCTTTTATTAACTGTTCTTTTCTTATTTTCTGAATCTTTAAGTTGAATTCATAAATTATATTATACAAAAATAATAAATATAAAAATTACTTTTTACACAAACTACTTCGATAGACCTATACGAGTAAAACACCATTTTGGGGTTCATAAAGTATTTGGTTTGTGATTTTTAAAAAAAAATTCACCCATTTTATAACTTTTTGTGTACTTTAAATAACACACACACAAAAATATCTTTTAATTTTTTTAAATTTTTTTTAAATTTTTTTTAATTTTTTTTATAATTTTAAAATTTTTTTTTTTTTCTATGAAAAATATTATTTTTAAGAAATAATATACAGAACAATTTTATTTATTTTTTTCGATAATATTATTTTATTTTTCATTTAATTAACAACACCATAAGCTTGTATTTATAAATTTAAAAAAAATAGTTATATAAAATTAATAATGCCACCAAAAAGAAAACTTGCACAATTGGATGAGGACGATAATTCATCAACAAACGATAATAATAGTAATAACAGCAATGGCACATCTAATGGTAATACTACAACATCAACAGCTACAACATCAACATCAACAACAGCAACAACAACAACAACAACAGCAACAACAAAAACCAATAAAACTTTATTAGATTCAAAAAATAATATATCAATACCAATTACAAACGATGGTAAATTAATACATTGGAAATATCAAGATGACGAGTTTGAATGGAAAACATTTGATAATACAATACTATTATCAATTGAGGAAACTTATCAAAAGAACCCAAAGGATATCAGCGAGCAATTTTTTGGAAGTAACAACGAAATTGTAATTACATTTTCTGACATGAAGATGTACTCAAATGATAAATCATTGCCATCATTTATGAAAAAGAAGGATATTAAAAGAAGTATTTGCCAAGCAGCATGGAGTTGGGAGAAAAGTAGGGCTGAATTTTCTTCATATGCACCAGATATTTCAAATAAAATTGAGTTGGCATTTTTGAAGGGTTTATCAAAGTATACATTAGATACCGAGCGTTATATTAGTTTTTCATCATACGAGCAATGCAGATTTGATGATACAACCAAAACCAGAAGGGTAAAAAGAAATTATATCGATATTACTGAAATTTATAACCCAAATTGGTATTATCAATCAACTTGTAAAACTAAATGGGAATTATACTTGGATAGTACCGATATCGAAAAAAGTAACAATCTTTTATTTACAAAAACATTTTTATAGAAACTTAAATAATTATATAATTTACTAATTTTTTTTTTATAGGTTTCCAATATTTTATTGAAAAAGGTAAAAACTCATATTATAAAACATCAAGTGATGATTTTATTTGCTTTTTAACAATGAGCAGCTCAAAGAAATTAGGTTCCATAGGTACACCAGTTAAAAGAGATTCAGGACCAATGAGCACCATAAAAAAGACTTATTCAAATTTATCAGAGGAAGAAAAAAAAGCAATGATTAATTCAATGTTATCAGGTTCAGTTAAGCCAGCAAACGATAACAAAAAGGTAAAGATTGATTCGTCGTCATCATCATCATCATCATCATCATCATCAGGATTATATTTACCAGGAGAAGAGGACGTACTAAAGGGTGACAAGGTTATGAAGTATATCCTCAGACCACAAAGAAGTTTTGATAGTTCAGTCGCCGATTTACATTACAGGGTTGCTGAAAGCCAGTTTGCACGTTTATTAAATGGTAACACCTATAAAGTCTCAAAGGTTGAATACATTGTCAATCCAACCCTTACCAAAAATTTTAACAAAAAAATGGAGGAATATAAGAAATTAGGTTACCCAGAGTGTAATCCAATTTTTGGTTTTCATGGTACTGCCGCAAAAAATATTGTGCCAATTTGTAGGTTTATTTCATTTTTTTTATTCTATATAAACTTTTTACTAACTTTATTATTTTTGTAGGTAAAAATAATTTTTCAGTACCAGGTAGCAATGGTGTTAAACATGCAACAGATAGTGGTTGGTATGGCAAGGGTATTTATTTCAGCGAGTACCCAGATTACAGTATTGGTTATATTAAAGATTGCTCCAAGATTCTACTTTGCAAGGTATTGTTAGGTAAAAGTTATAAATGTACAAAATTAATTACAGGTCAGCCATGCTTAAAGGGTTATACCAGCCATTTATCGCCTGATGAAAAAGAGTTGGTTTTGTTCCACCCAGATCAAATTTTACCAATTTATATTGTACATTACACATCATCCCTTTATCCAGCAGTCAAAGATAACGAAATATTAAATTTATATAACCAGGCCAATTTAATAGTATCATCAAATATTCTCAGTGGTATGGTAATTGGCTTTGCAGGTACCTTATCAAGCACCCATTATGTACTCCAAAATCTTGTAAATAAACATGGGGGTAGTTACATTGGTAATTCAACTAATGTTGTTGGTTGCACTCATTTGGTTACAAATAAAACAGAGTACACGAATAATGGTTCAAAAATTAGTTCAGCAAACTCATTAAAGGTCCCAATTGTTAGCGAAACATGGTTATATAAAACGATCATTGTAAATAAATCAATAAAAACAGGTCTCCATGGTTTTGATGAAACTAAAAAACCTAAAACAGTAAATGATACAATTAAACCAATTCCATTAGAACAACTGGAATATGATGACGTTGAAGATGAGGAGGAAGAAGAAGATGACGATGAAGAAAAGAAGAAAACTCCTGTAATTATACTTTTTTTATTTATTTTCTTTTAATAATGAATTACTAATTTTTTTTTTTAATAGTGTAAATATGGTGATAAGTGTTTCAGAAAGAATGCAGAGCATTTCAAACAATTTTCTCATTCATTTTTGGTAGATTAAATTTAAAACAATAATAATTAAAATATGTGTATGCCCATGGAATCAATTTTTTTAAATATAAAAATTTTCAATAAAATACTAAATTATTATTTTTTTTAATAAACTAATAAAAAATATATCTGGTCCCATGGGTTTTTTTTCATTTGAAATCATCAGAAAATTTATTTTTGGATTTATTGTTTAACCCAAAAACAAATAAATTTCTTTTTTTTTAATTTATTATTTTATTTTTAAAAATTATTTTTTTAAAAAATTATTTTTTTTTCGAGGAAAAATGAGGATACAAGTTCTCTCCTTGCATTAATAAAATAAATATAAATAAATAAATGAATTATTATATATATTGTAAATTATAGTTTATTTCTATACAAAAAATGAGAGGAAAAAAATATAATAATAATAATAAAGATAATAATAAAGATAATAATAATAATAATAATAATAATAATAATAATAATAATAATAATAATAATAATAACATTGGTAATAGAGAAAATAATTTTAAAAGTGAAGAAAATGAAAACAATCAATTAAAAGAAAGGGATGATGGTAAAAGCAAAAAAGAAAATATGTGGGGGTGGTGGAAGAATCGATGTAATCAACAGGTAGAGCAATATAAAAAAGAGTATTTTGAAAAAGAGTCCAGTATATTCAAAGATATCAAGGTTTATTTTGATGGGTTTAGTGGGGATGTTTCAGTAATGCATTTAAAGAAATTAGTGTTTCTAAATGGTGGAACCCATAGTCATTGGTTTTCTCCGACACAGTGTACTCATATAATTGGTACTGATATGTCTTTAAATAAATATGAAAAAATTAAAAAAATGGTTACTTCAAATTCAAAAAGAACAAATAATACTATTCATTATGTAAATTCAAACTGGATATTAGATAGTTGCAAATTTAAAAAGTTGCAAAACGAATCAAAATATAAATTATTTAATGAATCTACAAGTTTTTATAATTCAAAAGATATAAGATCATTTTTTACTCCAGAAGATAAAGATAATATAAATGAAATAGTAGAAGATAATAATCAATCAAATATAGATGATGATAATCAAGATAATAATAAAATAACATCAACATCAATATCAACATCAACATCAACATCAACATCAACATCAACATCAACATTAACATCAACACCACCACCATCATCATCTATTAATCCAAATAAAAGAAATAAAAATTATAACACAATAATTGATACTGACGAGTATTCACTATTTTCAAAAGTTAAAAAGAATAAAACGGTTGATGACAATGAATTGGAAGATTTATTATTAAATCCAGCAGTTTCAATTAACAATTACCTTGATAATAAACCAACATTACCAAAAAAAAATAATGATTACTATTTTAGTGATGATGAGGAACACAATCAAAAATATTTGTCGTCAATAGAAAGGGGTCAATCTAAATTTATTTAAATAAAAAAACAATTTAAATTTCTTTTTTTCATTATTTTATATTTGCAGTTTCGTTTTTTCATTATTTGGTCGTTTCATTACAAATTTTCATCAATTACAATAAAAAATCACAAAAGGAAAAAATAAATATTAAAAAAAAAAAATTTATTTTAATTTTTTTTTTTTCATTTATTTTTTTCATTAATTTTTTAAAATTTTTTAAAAATAAGAACGAAATTATTTATATGTTTTTTTTTTCTTTTAATATAAAATGATAAAGATAACAAAAGATACCAATAAATTATGTCATTACAATCGATTTTTAAATAAAAGTATTTTTGTTAGAAACTATCATAATTCCAAATCAAATTATTTTTGCACCAACAACGAAAGCAACCAAAAAAATGAAGGTTATCAAGAAGATCAAAAAAAGAGAGAATCTACACAACAAAAAACAGTAAATTCATTTTTGAGTTTAATGGGATCAAACAAAGTAAAGGTATCAAATACTTGGAGGGGTTTAAGATTTTTTTGGGGTTTGAAAGAAGATGCATTAAAAGGTATTGGAGGAGAATATGAAAATATCCTTAATTCGATCGAGGATAAAACTCAAGATATAATGGATGTATATTATAACATTATTGGGCATGGTAGGTATAATAAAACAATATTATTATATTGTGATAATAGTAATACTAATATTCTAAACCAAATTTAGTTCCATCTAAACATTTAGGCACTTTCTTTTTTTATAGTACATTTACAAATCAAAATGATCCAAGTGTATGGAATATAATTGAAGCATATTTAGATATTGATCTTGCTAAAGATTTTGTACCAAAAAGATCTATTGTAATTCATTGCAAAAGAAATAAAGAAGATGTTACATTTTTTGAAAAATTAAACATCGATGGTTCAAGAAATTTTATAAAGAAAAATATAAATGAATTTGATTCAGTTATAAGAAAAGAAAATGCCAATGCTGCATCAACAGTTTTGGAGTTTATATATTCATCAAAAAATGTTGATAATTTAACTTTGGTGATTATCCCAGAAATACAAGTAAGTACCAGCATATAGTAATATTAATAATTGATATATAAATTAAACATTTCAATAATTTAGAATATAGATCCATTTGGAGGTGAAAAAGCAGAAAGAGAAGTTTATTCATTATTTAGAATTTATAAAGGTTATAAATATCTTTTCCCATTATTTAAGAGATCATCAAGAAGAGAGGCCATAATCACAGAATCGTTGGATAAATTGGGTCTTTATACAAACCCAATTTTAACTTTTAGCGAAGATGATCCAAAATATAGAGAACTTATCATTGGTTCTTTACCACCCAGAAGCGATAAAACATTGTTTTATGAAAATAAATCAACTTTTAAAAAAATGCTTAAAGATAGAATTTATAAAGTAATTATGTATGCATTCTAAAATTATATCATTCATAATATTAATTTTTTTTTCTTTTTAATTTTTAGGTATTCCTTAAAAATAATGAAAACCATTTAAAATCAGTTATTACAGAGAAATTTTTGGAATCACACTCTATCTTTAAATATTCATGTAAAAAACCAACAAAATTTGATTTTTCAAAAAAATATTTTTTAATTTGGTCCAAAGAATCAATTGCATTGTAAATAAATTAATATTGGATAGTGGTTCTCATAACAAATACTAACTTTCTTTTTTTTTTATATTTTATATAGAAAATTAGTTTTAACTAAATTTTTACAAAATAAATTAAATGAGTTTTTTCATAACGAAATAGATAATGAAAATCATGATATTTATGTCCAAATTTCAGGAAAATCAGTTAAAGATACAATGCTTAGTACAGATAAATTAGAACCATTCAAACACAATTTTGATACCGAAGTTGACAATATTGCAGCATATTCAAGTTGTTTTGAAAAAGTTCTAGATCCATCAATTGATACAGATAAAAGTAAACTTATATTGCAATTCAAGGATGAATGGTTATTTACAAGCCAAAGTTTAAGAAGTCCAGTGTTTATAGAATCATTTAAAAAGGATTATTTAACAATGTTCACAAATTCATTAGATCAAATCAATGAAGTCGAGGGGATCTCATTTGAAAAGGAACATTTTAAATTTTATGAACTTTGGAATATCCTCTTTAAAAGAATTTTATCGAAATTATTAATTAGCGATTTAAGTTCAAGTATTCCTTACATATTATTAGACGAGATGGTTAAAGCAGTAGGAAAACAAGAAGAAGAAACAAATATCAGATTCCTTCTTTCAGTTCATTCAGAAGAGTTCAAGAAAAATCTCAGCTCTGAATTTGTTGATACAATAATTTCAAAAGAGTTTTATCCTTCTGTATCTTTTGAAGAGTTTAGAGAAACCTTAATGGAAGAGTTTGATACACTAGACAGTAACAAAACCATCAAAATTAAAGGTTTTTCAAGTAAGTACATAAATATGTAATATTAATTAATTTTAAAATTATTTTATATCTAATTTTTTTTTTTAGAACTTTGGAATTATATTTATTTTAAAGCAGTTTCAAAAAAATTATCGAGTCAAATCGTCAATGCTTCATTTAGTAATATAATATCTCCATTCTTCCTTAATATATTAGAATCATACTATGGTAAACAATTTGTACCAATTGAACTATACGACAAAAAGCTCGAAACTTTAACAAAAAATTCACTCTATATTAAACAAAATTTGGGTTTCAAGTCTAAAAAAGAAATTAATGATGAACAAAATAAAAATTGATCAAAAAAAAAAATTTATAAATTATTTTTTTTTTAAATTTTTTGGAATTTTTTTAAAAATCTTTTTTTTTTTATTTTTTTTAATTATATAAATAAAAATGGTGGAAATAAATAGTTTATTAATTGCAGAAGAACAAGTATTTTTCGAATTGGATAGTGTCACATTATATATATCATTTAATAATATAGGACCGGGCCATCTTTATGTTACAAATAAGTAAGTTTTTTAATTAAAAAAAAAGAAAAATAAAAAATTAATTTTCATTTTTTAAAATTTTAGAAATATTCGTTGGATATCTCAGGATAAACAAAGAAATTATAATTTTAATTTTTATTTAATTGGTTTAAATGCAATCTTTAATGCAAATGAAGATTTTCCAAACTGTATCTATTGTCAATTTGATGAAATTATAAATCCAACTATCGAAAATGGTAATGGTAATAGCAATGGTAATGACAGTAACAGCGATGAAAATGAAGAAGACGAAACCTATACAGAAATTAGATTTATTCCTTTAGATGAGTCAAAGAGTAATTATTAATTTATTATTAATTGTTATATTAGTTAACTAACAAATTAAAATTTTATATTAAAAATAGTTCGTGATATTTATGATGCATTTTGTCAAGGTGCTTTATTAAATCCAGATGAAGACCAAGATGATGAAGGTGATTTTTATTTTAATGAAGAAGAAAACGATGAACAAGAGTTGGCATTTGATCCAAATGATTTAGAAAGATTTGAAGATGCAGAAGAATAAAAAAATAAAACAAAAACTTTAAAATATAATTATATATCTTTTTATTTATTAATTTTTTTAGAAAAAACTGTTGATGATGTAATGTCTAAAAATCTTTTTAGATGATATTCTTTTGTGTAGGCTTTTGAAATTAGGAATGGTTCCAATTGATCTAGTAGTTCGTCTTCACAATAAAATAGTTTGGAAGTGGTTTTAAATTATCATTAATACTGTTATTAATATTATAATGAGTATTCATAAATTTTAGTGGATCTTGGTAAAACAACGATTTTTCATCGACTGGTGAATCCTCATAAAGTCTGATTGTAATAAAATAAGATTAATGTTAATATATTTTTCTGTATTTTAATTAAATATTACACTTACGGTGGTGGGCATTCCAGTAGAGTTAGTTTTAAGTTTGGATTATGAATATAGCTTTGATAAGGTGTTGCATGACACGACATTAATAGATCGACTGAAATTGAATCTCCATAGCCACTTGTGCCAATTTTTGGGACTATATTGTCATTTATATAATACATTATATCGATTGGTGATCTTTGATGGAAATTTGAAAAGAAAATAATCATTGGTATGTTTGATAGTAATAAAATTGAAATGAAAATTTTAATTTTTGTTTGATTCTTGTTATTTGCTGCAACTATTGTATCATCTTTTTTATTACCATTATTAAATAAATTTGAAATGTAATAACCAGAATACATCATGACTAATGGTAAAATTGGGAAAATAAATCTAAATTCTTTATGTGCTAATAAACTAAAGAATGCTATTGTAAAAATTGTTAAATAGGCCAAATGTAGTTTTGTAGGATTTGTTTTAAAGAGGTGTCTAATTGATAAAAAGAAAATTGGTAACATTGTGAAGGCAATGGCTGGGAATCCTTGACTGAAATACCAATGGAATGGATGAGTTCCATAAAAACTTGATACATTTTTTATAACATTAAAATAAAGGAAATTATATGGTACAATTGTTATTTTGCCGTAAAATGTGTAGTCTATACCAAAGATGATAATAAGTGATAAAATGCTAAAAAAAAAGGTTAGTTTATATGTTTTTTATTTTATAAAAAAATAATGATAGCCTACGTCATTGATAAACAATCAAAAATAATAAAATTTATAATTTTTTTGAAAGATTTTAAATTGTATAGTTGTAATGGTATTAAATATAACCACATAACTGCAGTTGTTGGTCTAATCATAAATGCAAATATTGTAAGTGCAACTGAGATCTTTGGGTTATCATTATCTTTTGATTTGCTTGGTAGTGGAAAATAGTACAGTGAAATAATGAATAAAATGGTTTCTATTGAATTTGAGTAGGTTCTAACAATACAAATGAATGTGTACCAAGAAAAAAGTTGACATATTAATGTCCATTTTGCAATTTGTTTATTACCATTAAATAGTGATAATGTAAGTTTATATAAATAAATATCACCTATTGCTGCTAAAAAACCTGATAATATCTTTGGGGCTATAATCTAAATTAAAATGTATAAGTAAAATTATACAATTGTAAAATTATAAATAAAAATACTTTACAATTAATTTGGTTGTATCTAAATTAAAAATTGATAAAACTTTAAAAATTATAATGAAAAATAAAGGATGAACAAAACTTCTAATCCCTTCGGACCATTCCCATGTTAGATATCCATATCCAAATACAATTTTGTGAGCAACCTCTAAACTTTGCCAATATTCGTCTGGGTCAAAGAATGTATTGATTGAAAGTGCGTCAATTATTCTAAAAATTACTAAAAATAAAAATAATCTGTTATTTTCTATTAAATAATTTATTATCTTATTTATTGTTTTGATCACCATTTCTCACAGATTTATTAATAAAAAAAATGAAAGTAAATTTTTTTAAAAAAATATTATTTTTGTTTTTTTTTTTTATTTTTTTTTTTTTTTTTTTTTTTTGATTAAAAACAATGAAAACAATGAAAAAAAATACTAATTGAACTAATAAATTATTTATTATTTTATTATTTTATATATAAAATTTATATACATTTATTTATTTAATTTATTTATTTTTTTTAAAAAATTATTTATATCTGTTTAGTTTTTTGTTTGATTTAAATATATTTTACAAATATTTAAAATTATAAATTAATTACATGTGAAAGTTTCAAGATTGTTTATCTAGTTCTTTTTTAATTTGATCAATAAAATCTGGGTATGTTTGATAGAAAAAGTTAAATTGAAAATCGGGTATGTTATTATTACTATTGTGTCGTATTGATTTTTCCCATGCTTCTAATGCTTTAAATATATCTTCGCTATCTCTTAAATATTGTGCAACCTTAACATTTACTGATTGGTTGATTTGTGGTTGTGCAGTGTTAGCATTATTAGAGGTAGTGGAGTTAGTAGTTGCTGTCGATGAGGGTGTTGGTGATGGATTTGGTTGATGAGTTGGTGAGCCTGGATTTCCTGTTGTTGGGGTAAGTGGAGCATTTAAAGGATTGGCAGGTGGTAGTGATTTTGATGATGATGATGATGATGATATGAATGGTAAATAGTAACTAAATATATCTTTACGAATATGTTTTAATTGATCTTTCTTTAAACAAAACATTTTTATATAACAAAATGACTCACACTTAAAGCTATAAAAAATATTAATTAGTATGGATAATTATATGGTTTTGTTAATTATTATTATGATAAACTTACCACAGGGATGCTTTTAATTCATCTTTGTGGTGTAGCGATAAACGTGCAGTATTTGAAAAAAATAAAGAAACTTCATTTAAGAATGATAGAATACTTGACAAAGGATCATTAACCTCTATCATATTATATGTTTGTAATAAATATTTTAAACCGACTTGTAAATACATTTCTAGGCATTCTATAAGATTTTTATTTTGTAACTCCTTTGCCATTCTTTTTAATTCTTTAGCCTCTTCTTTAATTGTATCAATTTGTTGTTTAATCGCTCTTTCTTCGGCCTTTGATTTTCTTGGTGTTAAGTCTACCGAATTTGAAATAGAATCTTTTGAAAGTTGTGGTGTATTATTTGATGATGTTGATGCTGATGATTTATCATTTTTATCATTTTTATCTTTTTCTTTATCTTTATCTTTTTCCTTTTTATTACTATTTCCGCTATCTTTTCCTCTATCTCTGTCCCTGTCTCTTCTATCACGATCTCTGTCTCTATCACGGTCTCTTTCACGATCACGATCACGGTCTCTATCTCTATCACGGTCTCTATCTCTATCGCGATCTCTATCACGGTCTCTGTCCCTATCGCGATCTCTATCGCGGTCACGATCCCTTTCTCTATCGCGATCACGGTCTCTATCTCTTTCACGGTCCCTTCTGTCCCTATCCCTATCACGGTCGCGGTCTCTGTCCCTATCACGATCTCTACTTGAATCTCTATCACGGTCCCTTTCTCTGTCACGGTCTCTACTAGTTTCTTTGTTTGATTCCTTTTCAATAATCTTTTTATCATGTTCAGAAACAGAGAATGGATTTACCATTGATTCTTCTTTCTTTTTAGATGAAACTGAATTTGACGATGATGTTAATGAAACACTTGGTGATGAGTTAGTTGATGACGATAAGGGTTTTTTGCTGGTTGATGCAGTTGTAGTAGTTGTTGGTGGAGATTCTTCTTTCTTTACAGCACTACCATTATTTGTTCCATTAGCTGATTTATATGAATCAGTTTTTGATTTCTTTGGGGCTCTCCTATCATCATTTTCACTATCTGAGTTATCATCTTTTGATTTTTGTGGTGTTGGCTCATCAATGTCCATATCCATTGCAGTACTTGAGCCATTGGTATTTGCTGTTGCAGAATTTGTTGATTTCCTTTTACCTGAACTCTTTTTCTTTTCATCATCTGAATCTTTTTTACTTTTTGCTTTTTCTTTTTTATCTTTTTCTAATCTTTCTTTTTCTAATTTCTCCTTTTCCCATTTCTCTTTTTCTTGTTTCTCTTTTTCTTGTTTCTCTTTTTCTTGTTTCTCTTTTTCTAATCTTTCCTTTTCTTTCTTTTTTTCCTGTTTTTCCTGCTCTAACTTTTCTTGTTTCTCTTTTTCTTGTTTTTCTTTCTCTTCTTGTTTTACTTTTGACTTTTCATTTTCAGGTGACTCTTTTAAATTTGGTTCAGGTTTTTCAGTTTTAACAACTATTTTTGGAATTTTTAAAATTAATTTTTCTTTTTTTGTTGGATTACTATTTGGTCCATTTGGTGATTTAATAGTATTTTCAGGTGTTGATACAGTTGATGATGCAGTATTTGTTTGCTGCTGTTGTTGTTGTTGTTGTTTTTTTTTTACATCTGCACCATTTAAGTAGTCCTTATTTGATGGTGATTTCTTTTTATTGTTTATCATTTTATTATTATTATTATTGTTGTTATTATTTATATCAATTAAATTATCGTTATTAGTTTTATTATTTATAGAATCGTTAAATGGTGAAAGCATAGGACTCAATGGACTGGTCATAGACTGTACAATGGAATCGATTTGGTTTTCTGAATTTTCTTCTTCTATTGGCTATTTATAATAAAGAATAAAATGTTAATAAACTTAATAAAAGAAATAATAAAGTAAATGAAAATTTACATTATCTAATTTTTCTACCCTAATTTCTAATGGAATTGGTGGTGAATAATGTATTGTCCTAATTTTAAATTAAAATTTAAAGGTTAAAATTTAATTACTAAAGAAAAAATTTTAAAAATTGTAAGTATTTATACATACTTGGATTTTGGTTGTGACGAGGTAGTATGGGTTGTTTGAGATTGTAATTTAGCTTGGATTTGTTGTTGTAATTGTTGCTGTTGTTGGTGTATATGTTGTTTTTTTTGCTGTAATTGTTGTATCTGTTGTTGTTGTTGTAAATGTTTCTTTTGTTGTATAGGTGCTGTTGGTGTTATTGGTTGATTTTGTTTTTTTTGTTGTAAATGATTTGTCTGTGGTTGTGATTGTGGTTGTGGTTGTGGTGGTTGTGGTTGTGGTGGCTGTGGTTGTGGTGGTTGCAATTGAGGTTGGAAATTTGTGGAATTCTTTTTTTGACGATTGTTATTATTATTGTTATTATTATAATGTGGGTAAGTTGTAGAAGTTGTAGTTTGGAATAAAGTAGAATCAGGTTCGCTTAATGTATTGAAAAATGACCCATATTGGGGATCTATAATAGCCTGTCTTTTAAATTTACGATCTTTAGTGAGAAACAAGATCTTTTGATCTAACTCTGATTGTCTGTTTATATTGTTGCTAGTATTGCTTTCAAATATTTCACCACCTTCTAATTCTATATCTTCTGCCTTATTAATGAACGACGATTGTTGTTCAAAATCTTGATTCATTGGGATTATAATTTAGGCCTATTTCTTTTTCTTATTTTTTTTTTCTTTTTCTTTTTCTTTTTTTAGATTAATAAATAAAAAAAAAAAAAAATTTCAAAATTAAAAAAAAATAAAAAAAAAAATAAAAAATACTTTTCATATAATTTTAAAAAAAAAAAAAAAAAAATTAGTATGTGAATGAAAAATAATATAATTCTATATTTTTGGAATATATAAATATAAAAATAGACTAAAAAAAACAAACTCAATAAAACTATATTTTTTATGATAGAGTATATACACTCTTTTATTTATTTTGTGAAAAAGTTTTTTATAAAACAGTTACAAAAAATAAAAAAATAAAAAATAAAATAATAATATAAGAATACATACTTTCTTTTTTTATTGATATTATTTATATTATTGCTATGTTATAATTTAATGATTGATACCAAACATATACCCCTGTTTTGGTTATCTCCTTTTTTTTAACAATATAATATTAATTATAAAAATAAAAAAAATTTTAAAAAAAATAAAAAAAAAAAATTTAATTTAAAAAAAAAATTAAAAAAAAAAAATTTTATAAAAATTAAAAAAAAATATTTAAAAAAAAATAAAAAAAAAAAAAAAAAACCAAAAAAAGAATTAAAAAAAAAAAAAAAAAAAAAAAAAAAAAAAAAAATGAATGAATAGAATAGAATAATAAATATAATATATCCTTATATAACTTTAACACTTTGATTTGTTAAATGATATTTTTATCATTCCACAGATTTAAAAATAGATATTTTCTTTTTGTTTTTTAAAAATATTAAATATAATATATATTTATTTTGGCAATAGCTTTTTTTTGTTTTTTATATTTTTTTTTTGTTTTTTGGTTATTATAATTTTTCTTTTTTAGTTATTGTTTAAAGCTAATAAGGCAGCACCGAAAACAGGTTCACGATTTGGAATTTTAATGTCAGCATTTGGGTAGGCAGCTTTAATTTTTTCTATTAATAAATCAGAGAACATAGATTTACGTTCAATGTTACCACCAGCAAATATTAATGGGAATGGTTCATTTGCTAAATTTAATTTCTTTACAATACTGCTAATGTATTCCTATAATTTTAATAATTTAGATTAGTATATTTATACAATAAAAAATCGAAACAAAAACAAATCTTACAAAAAGTGCATTGGCAGCGTCATTTAAAATTAAAATTGCAATTTCATCACCGGCGTTGGCTTGTTCGAATGCTAATGTTGAAAGTTGAGCAAACTTTTGCCAATTTTGATTCTTTGGATCGTAAGCCCAAGAAATTAAACTATCTTCTTTTGTTAAATTTAATCTTTCTAATAAAACTTTAGTTAAAGAGGTTTTTGGACCAGTTTCATCCTACAAAAAATATAAATAAATATAAATTAATTAATAAATATAAATAAAAAAATAAAACTAACAAAAGAATAAAAATATATATGACGATTATAATATAAATCTACTATTTTTATTATCTATATTGTATTGTTTTTTTATTTGGACTTATAGATATTATTATTACTATTATTATTATTATTATTATTATTATTATTTTCTATTTCTTTTTTTGTTTAGTATTACTATTATTGTTAGTGAATAGAAATCCTGAATTTACTTACTTTAGCTCTTAAAACATGTCTTAAAATATCGTAACCAATTTGATAACCACTTCCATAATCACCCAATAATGGTCCCCAACCAGCACTTCTAGTAGTTTGGCCATCTTTATTAAAACCTAATGAAATACAACCAGTACCACAAATAACAACAATACCAAATAAGTGACCATCGGTACCACTTGCTAAAGCAATGATAGCATCATTATAAATCTTGCATGGTACATTTGGACCAAGTAACTCTGATATCCATCCAATAACCATTTTTTTATCTTCTTCTCTATCTACTCCACTCATACCTAAACAAATTGATTTAACTTGAACATCTTCTTCTTTATCCTCATTTTCTCTTTTAATTTGATTTAATACGAATCTAATTCCTTCGTAAATGGATGCTTTTGCTAAATCTTCGCCAACACTGTGATAATTGCTGCATGGCGAAACGTGTCTTGATAACTCTTTACCTTCGTTATTAACTGCTAATGTTAATGTTTTTGTACCACCACCATCAACACCAATAAAAACTTCTTTAACCATTTTTTATTTTATTTTGATTTTTTCTAAAGAGTTGTTTATTATTATTACAAACTTCAATTGTAATTTTTATATTATCTGTGTTTTAAAAATAAAAATTATGATGGTGAAAAATGAAAAAAAAAAAATTTAAAAATTTTAAAATTTTTTTTTTAAAATTTAAAAATTTAATTTTTTTTTTTTTTCCCACACCAATTATAATTATTATATCCAAATTTCCCTGGTTTATTATGATTTTTAATTGAATTTATTGGGTATATTACCAAAAAAGTATTTATTAATAATTAATATATCTTTCAAAACAATCTTAAAAACAATAAAATAAAACCATATTAATAAAATAAATAAAAAAATTTAGATTTTTTTTGATTTTAAAAAAAAATATTTAGATTTTTCTTTGTATATATATAATTTATTTAATTTTAATATTTATTTATTTTATATTAATTAAATATTGAAATTGAACCATTTTCAATACCAGTTAATAATACTGGTTTATTTGTTAAAGTTGAAACCGAAACATTTAAAGAATAAATTGAGTCATTATAAGTTTGTGAAAGGAATGGAGATGCAGAGTCTTTGGTTTCAGTACCGGTTGTTAAGCTCCACAAACAAAGACCATTAGAAGTACCAATAATTAAAGTTGAACCATCAGAATCCAAACAATGAATTTCACCAGATACCTTGAAACTGAAAATTTCAGAGCCTTCAATGCCAATTAACTTTACAGTACCATCAATTGAACATGTAATAATTCTTGATCCATCGGGTGTGAATTTGATGCAGGTTACCTCGTCGTCGTATAAATGCAATCTACGAACAAGTTGAAGAGAGAGTAAATCATAAAAATATAAAACACCATCACTTGAACCTGAGCAACATATGGTACCATTTGGACTGATATCAATCGAACGAATTTCGGTGTCAGAGTCAACAAAATCTGCTATTGGCTCCTTGTTAATAGATATTGCACCATTTGAGGCTTTTTGGGTTTTCCAAACTTTAACGGAACTATCCCAACTACCAGATACCAAAATATTATTATGGAGCTTTAAACAAGATACAGCATCACTATGTCCCGTTATACTATAACTAATTGAACCATTACCGACTGAATATACATAAATGTTATTATCCCAAGAACCAATAATAATATATTTTTCGTCTTTAGATAACTGGAATGAAGAAAGAGCCAAATTACATAAATTTAATGATCTAACTTGTCTCTTCTCTTTGAGTGAATAAATCTTTAAACAACCATCCAGTGATACTGAATAAATAACCTCGCTATTATTTGATAAATATAATGCACTGACTTTATCTTTATGTAATTTGATGTTTTGATTTAATTTTAAATAATTTAATGATCCCCAATTGTTTAAAGGATTTTTAATATCGCCACTAAATCTAATTTCATCACTATTATTACTATTACTATTATTATTAAAACCATCAAAACCATTACTATTTTGTAGCTCACTATTATTGTTTATAAAATTATCATTTAAATTTAAAGTTTCTGAAAAATTATTTAATTGATTTTCTAAATTTTCTGAATTATTTGTACTATTATTAAAACCATTATTACTACTACTATTTATAAAACCATCACCACTATTTTCATTATTATTACTATTACTATTATTAATATTGTTATCATTATTTAATTCATTAAATATAAAATTGATATTGTTTTCTAAATCATTTAATTCAATCTTTAAATTTTGATTTCTTAAATTTTGTGGTAAACGTTGTGGATGAGGAGTTGTAAAAATTTGTTTTGGTGTTTGACCAAACTCATTGATTTGTATTTCTAAACTTGCTCTTTGGACTGGATCTATGATTGAATCAATATCGACACTACCTTCATAAGTTAAATGATAAAACAAATTATCTGCTTTGACGGCTTCTTCGCCTTTTTGTTTATATCCAAAAATTAAATCTATCCAATGATGTAAATTTTGAGAAACATATTCGGATTCTAAAGCTTCGTGAAGTTTGGATATAAATTTCTTTGAATTATTGTTGGCCCATGGTGGTAAAACGATATCATTGATAACATTATGATCTTGACGTACACCCAAATCTAAATTTTGGCTATTTAATAAGAAAAGACCATTATCTTCGATAGACTCGGGTTTATAAAATTCTGGAATTAACTCTTTAACATCAGTGGTACTGTTTAATACTGAATTCCATGTCTCTTCAATTGAATGAAACATACGATTTGGTGAATCGAAACGACCATTTTGAAGACGAAGCATATATTCTGGGAACTGTCTAACGAGGAAATATAAAACATAAGCGGGAGTTGAATAATGAGTGCCATAAAGGAACTTTGGTTGGTCATCTGGTATTTGATGGTAACGCTCTTTAAATGTTGATAATCTATTTGGGTTTAAAGCTCCTATTGGTTTGGTTAGATCTCTAAAAGTTTCTGGCTTGGTTAAATCCAAATAACTTGAATGATAATCCGCTATAATCCAGGGGAATACTGGATATTGTGTTAAATCATTATATGTTCTTCCTGCTAAATTATTTAAATATAAAATGTAGTCGTAATTTGAAATGATACCATTTTGCCACTTTAATAGATAATTTGCCTGCTCGTTAGTGTGAACTATATTAGTACATAAATGTTGCACCAATAAGTCATGGACTTGGTCTCTGACTGGAGTATGTGAAAATTTTAAAAAGAGACTTGATGAATCATCAAAAAATAACTCCAAACCAATTTCTCTTAGTGAATGTCTTCTCTTTAATACTCTAATTATTGACTCTAAACTATAGTTCTTTAATTTATGCTCTTCTATATTGTTCATTGGTTGGAAATATAATCGTGAATTTGTTATTAATAAACTACCCGGATTTTCTGCCAATGGTGATATCTTTGAACACTTTAACTCTATAATATTTCTTTCGTTCATATCTACCAACTGTGTAACATCGAAATAAATCTTATTTTCTCTTTCTTCTACCATCTTCTTTGTTAAACTATCGTGTTCGATTTTATCTTTTTTAGAATATTCATAAAATGTTTTAATTAATTCTAAAACGATTTCTTGTTTTACATAACTTAATGTAAATTTGAAATCTATATTATTATACTATAAAAAATTATAAAAAAAAAATAAAAAAAATAGTTAGAATCTATATTTTGGTATAAACAACATATAAAATATTTAATATGTATAATAATTACCTGTTTGAATATATATGGATGATTTTTATCGTTCTCTTTCATTTCCACTACTTGTGATGATTTGATATAAAATACACTATTCTTACTTGCTAAAAATGATGGCTTGGCTGGAACAAATATCGATGATGCCGGTGGTAATGATGCCATTTGTTGTGAAATTGGCGATGCGCTTGGAGGACTAACTGAATATGATGTATATGGGTTATTTTGCGGATTATTAAAACCATTATTATTATTATTACTATTATTATTGTTATTATATGAAGTTGGTATTGACGATGTTGTAGAGGTTTGTGTTGTATTTCCTTTTAATGGAGATAATGATGTAAATGATAATAATCTCGATAATGCTGATCTTGAGGGTGATGGTTGTTGTGTTTGTTGTTGTGGTTGAGGTTGTTGTGGTGGTGGCTTTGATACTGGAGCTGGAGTAGGAGAAATAAATACTGGAGTGGATGATTGTGAATTTAACCAGGGTCCAACACCTGAAATCTCTCTATATGGAAACTTCATAATTGATAGTTTAATATCATCAGGTTCGAAAAATATTGAATTTGAACAAATTAAAATTCTACCATTAATCCTTCTCTGCCATGAGTCTTCTTCGCAATTTGATGGAGGGTAATATACTGCACTATAGTCATCAAAATAATATTCACCCTCGTCCATTAAAAGTAATGAAAATCTAACCTTATTTATATTTTTTGAAAACATTTTAATATATTATTGTTATTATTATTATTATTTTTATTATTATAATTCTAATATATTATTTATTATTATTATTATTATTATTATATTATTATATTATTATATTATTATATTTTTAAAATTTTCATTTATTAAAAAAAAAAAAAAAATTATTTTAACTTTAAATAACCAGGTTTATATAAATAAATGAGAAAAAATAAAAAGAGAATGTGTATTAATTATAATTTAAAAAAATAAATAAAAAAAATAATTATTTTAAAATAATTTAAAAAAAAAAAATAAAAATTTTAAAAAAAAAAAAAAAAATTCGTCAAAAAAAAAAATAAATAAAAATTATAAATAAAGATAATGTTTATCTATTTCCTCTAGAAAGAGTTAATCCTCTATACAACCGATACATTTTTGATAAGATTTTTATTTCTAATATTATAGATCCAATCATTCTAGTAATTTTAGTGGTTATTTCCATTTTAAAGAAATAATTAATAAAAATCTTTTTTTTTTTCATTTTTTTCATTTTATTTTTTTTTTTTTATTAAAATTTTTAAGAAATTAATTTTTTTTTTTTTTTTTCTTATTTTTTTTTGTTATTTTAATATTTATATTTTGTAATTTTTTTTAATCGCTCTATTTTAGTATATGTATATAAATATATAAATATATAAATATAAATATATAAATATATAAATATATATAATCAATAGAATTTAAAAATATAATTAAAAATGCCAGATAATTTAGAAATTGTAAGATTAGATTCATTTTATTATTAATAAATAAAAACTAAATATTAATATTTAAACAAACAATATTTAAATTTATTAGATTAGATTAAATAAAGATGAAGAATTTGAGTATTTTGTTAATTATAAAAAGACATTTCACAAGTGGAGTTTAGAGGAACATAGCATTTTCACCAAAGCAACATTAGAATATGATATTTTAAAGATAGATCAACTGAATGAAATACTTAAAGTTATTAATCAATACAACCAAAATATAGGATCAAAACAGAGAACACAAGAAGAATTAAATATACATATTAAAGTGTACCAGAACTATTTAAATAAACAGCAAACACTAAGAACACCATTAAGTGGAAATTTAGCATTAAATACCAGCGGTGGTAGCTCACAGTCCTCAACAAACAATAACCTAAATACAGGTATTAATACTGGCAATCCCATTACAAATAATAGCCTATCATTATTAAATAATGTTCATAGTGTCAATAGCAGTATAATGAATAACGATATGTTTTTAAATAATATGATCACCAATAACTACTTTTCAATAATAAACTCATTAGATAATACCACTGGTAGCAATCCAACCTCGATAAAAGATGTATCATCAAATAACCCATTGCTACAAAAAAACCAACCAATTAAATTAGCTTCAAGAGCAATATCACCACAACAATCACCAATTCTAACCTCAAAACCAATTACAACTGCTGTTTCACTACCCCCCTTACCTACTAATAGAAGCAATGATAATAATGAAATTAACAACTCCAATTTTGCACCAGAATTAAATAAAAAAGATTTGAAAATTCTTAAAGAACCTTGGACAGCCGAAGATCAAAAGAAATTTGAGGTTGCACTTGTTAAATACCCAAGTAGTAGATTTAGTAGTGTCTCAAGATGGCAAATGGTTGGTAAAGAGGTTGGTATTACACCAAAAGCTGCAGCATTAAGATATAATCAAATGTTGAGCCAGTTAATGCCAAAAAAGCCATTAGGACTATCCAATTCATCATTACCAATAACTATAGCCTCAACCATTACAACAACCTCAACAACACCAGAAAAGGACTCATCCCTTGGAAAAAGAACAAGAAGAACAAGTGGATCCAAAGAATCACCATTAAAAAAAGAAAAAACATCCCATGAAACTGAAGGTTCAATTATCCAATCTCCTCAAGACACCAATATATTAAATTCAAATGAAATTGAAGATCTTTTATCAAAAAATGATTCACTTTTAGAACAAATGAAAGCAAATATAATGAAAAATGAAAACCCATCAATTCCAAATTTAAATGAAATTATCGACAATATAAATAACTCTATAAAAATGTAAGTTTTAATAATTCAATATACATCATTTATATTATTGGTATTGATTTTTTTAATTTATTTTATAGGACCGAGAAATGGAAATCGACCAATAGCATGCCACCATTACCATTAAAAGTTAATGATATGATTGTAAAAATGTTATCACCCAAAACAAATCTAACACACCAGCCAACAAACAATCCATTTAATTTATTAAACAAAGCCAATATAACACCAACTACCAATCTAAGTAAAAGAGGTTTATCAAAAAATGCAGAAGAATGGAATTTAGTTTATGATGAAGAGTAATAATAATTATAAATAAAAATAAAAATTGTATATTAAAAAAAAGGGGTCATATTATGAATGTGTATATTAGCATTATATTTATTAAAACAATAGAAAAAATAAAATAAATAGAAATAAAAATAAAAATAAAGTTTTTTTAAAACTAAAAAAATAAATATTTATTATACTATAACATTTTTAAAATTGTATGTGTGTTTATTATTTTTTTTTTAAATTGTTTTGTTTCTTTAGAAAACTTTTGGAATGAAGACGTATGGAACACGTTTACAGTAGTTCTTCCAGTCATCACCGTATTTTTCTAAACAGGCATTGTGATCTCTCCAACATCTGTGAAGATCTAAAGTGGTGAAATAAATACCGTAGAAATATGGAGCAGCACTGTCGAATTGACATGGTAAACACCAAGCCCATGATAAGATGATATCACCAGTGTAGTTAAGATGACGGCAGATACCCCAGAAACCTGAGCATAATAATTTAGTACCACGTTTAGTGAGGATGTAATCTGGTTTTTTACCCCAAATAAGGTGTTCTGGATTACGACGGAAAGCGTGTTTTTGGCTGTTAACCCAACGGAATAAGTAGAAACCGAAAGCTTTAAGACCTAAGACGAAACAAGCATAACCGATGCTGATGTGAATTGGTTGACCATCAACGAGATGTTTGAAGAGGTAGTAACATTGGAAACAATAGGTGAATGGAACCCAGGCGAGATCACCATAAACTAACATGTAACCGAATTTTTCAGTGATGATATCCATAGTGGTTAAGATGGCTTCTTCGTGATAATAGTAATCAGCAATGTACCAGAAATGGAAACAACAGACCATGATGACAGAGATTGAGACTTCACCGTAGACTTCAAATTGTTTAGCAGCAATTGAGAAATTCATTAAAACCCAGAGGATAAGACCTGGACGGGCTTCACAGAAAAGTTTGAGATCGAATGAACCAATACGTGGATTACGAGCAAAACCCATCCAATAATCGTAGAAGAAGTGACCTGACATACGTTCTTCTTCGTCTTTAATCATAGCGTGGACTTTGAGGAGGATGGTGAAAACGAATGACCAAATGTTGACGACGGTCATCATTGGAGCATAGTTATCATAGAGGATGGTAGCTTTGAAGAGACCAAAGTAAATACAAACTGGGATAACAATAAGAGTGATCCACCATGAAGCCCAACCATTGAGAGTATATTCGAGACGTTTACCACCTGGTAATGGTGAACCTAAAACTCTACGACCTGGAACAAAGTGTTGGAGGAAAGCTTGGAAGAAGAACCAAGCGAAATAGATAACAGCGGCTTCTTTAGTTGGGTAGGCATAAGTGATGACATAATTGTAGAGAGTAACAAAGAAATCTTTGACACCATCAACACTGAGGGTAGCTGGACGTAAAAGATAACCTTGGTTAAATTCGATTGAAGCCCAAATCCAATAGACAACAACTGGGAGAATGAAAATGAGTAAGAAAGTACCAACAATACCACCAAATTCGTTAGCTGGGTGGATTTTCTTTAAATCAGCTAATTCTTTTTTTTGTTGTTCAGTTAATTTTGGTTCTTCATTGTGAACCTTTTCGGTTGTATTACGATTTCTGACTGTACCAGACATTCTTCTGAAAAAAATCTATATATTAATGAAATAA